ATCCGTCATGCTGTATGACTGGTTTCCCTCCTGTAAACATTTTAGCCGCGATATGCGTATTGAATAAACGTGCTCCGTGCTACACGTCTGTTTCCTTTTCAAGCTGGGCAATAGCTTAGCTGGTTCTGGGAGACTAGCTAGATGTTGGAGAATTTGCCATAGAGATTCCTGAGCCGGTCAGGCTTTACTAAGGTAGCAATCCGTTACAATTCTCAACCGGTCTGGCTTTACTAAGGTAGCAATCCGCTACAAGTCTTTAACCAAGGCTTTACGAAGGTAGCAATCCGCTACATGTTCGAGACTTAGGGAGCAATCCGCTACAAGTCTACAAAACAATATACATAACTTCTATAAGTAATATCCTAAGTTTATCACATATGTAGAAGACATTGAATTTTCACAGTATCATCTTGATATATGTTGATGTTTCAATTAAGCTCGATGTAACAAGTTACACAGTAGAGCATGTTGGAACTTGTTGAATTTAAAAAAAACGCTAAAATTGTACATTAAGCAGTATGTGCCTTTAAGCAACTCCTTAACAGTTAGTTCCTGATTAAGTAAGGATGGCAAAATTTAGCAAGATGCGTTTTTATATTAAGCTACTAAAATTACGAAAGTGGACCAGATAACTAGTCATTTACACTATCCGCTCATTATCCATATTGTGATTACTCTCTTTGTCAAGCTCTTTTAATACTAAGGTTAGGCAAAGAAATATTATAATGCAAATGCAAATAATAAGAACTCTGAAGTACACAATCAAATGGATGGGAAAATGTTGATCATTTTGTATGTTAAATAATTTAAACGTCATTTTCATTATAATTTCTTCAACTTATTTAGTATTCCCTAATGTTTTAAATATATTATTTTAAATAGCTTATTTTGATGATAATTTGTTTATCAGTTTGCTTTGACCTAGCTGCGTTTTAAACCATCTTTGGTTGTGGCATGGATGATCGTCATGGTATGTCTTGTTGTTGCTAATTTTCCTGCAAATAGTTTTATTGTAGTTTTCTCTGTTTTTTTCGCGCTCTTATGCGAGTCTGATAGTTACGCTAATTTTGATTCCATTTTTGCAATTTCAGTGTCCAGAAATACTGATGAGACAAGTTATCTATCGCTCTCAGGAGGTTGATTGATTGGAGTGGTTTCGTTTTAAATGAACACCTCTACCCTGTAAGTGATGAAATCTTATTTTGTCGCATTGTGAAATGACACTAGTTACTAGTGTTATTCACAATCATATGCGAATTGCATAGTTACTCTGACTATCTCTAACCATTTTGTCTATTAATAGGTGTAGATTACGGGTTTATGGAAGGCTAAACCTAGGTTCCGTAAGTTATTGATGATTACCTAACACCGCATCGTGATGTTACACCAGATACTGGCGTGAATCACGCTTATATGCGATTTACATAGTTACTCTGAGTCATTTTAATGCTCACTTTTTCTTTTCAGACCTAGTATGCTGATGCAGGGATTGTTCATTGTAATGGAGGTATTACTAATTTATTTTAAATAAATTCCATCTCTTATGGGGATTAATTTTCTTATGATATCCATTTTGCATTCATGAATAGTTAGCGAATATTGATGGTTTTTGGTTAGTGCCGATCTGGTGGTTTTCACACGGGATTTATCGATTATCGGGTTGCTTTTTTGGCAGTTTCAACTTGCCGGTTAGTGATTCAAATAATCAATTATCGGTTGTTGCCGTGATTGTGTCGTGGCTGACTTCAATACTTGTAGAATTGGGGTGGCTGTGAAAGCGCGAGTGATTTGATCTGTCACTTTAATGTGGCACCGAAGTGTCAACACTTATTTTACTTCAGTTGGTGTTCTGCAATTGCCAATATAATCGAGTATCATAATTATATGGCACATGAATTCGCTTTCAGAAATGGAATTTAAGGCTAAGAAATGCGTGGTTGAATAGCACTGTTCATACTCAAAAGGTTACTGTCGAAGGATATATCGGTTGTGCTAAGATGTATGTGGAACGGCAGCCGTGATGGGCAGATGCCATCTCAAGAATAGCTCTACGACATGGGCGACTAAAAGTCAACTTGAGAAATATTTCGGCGAAGACAGAAGATACGAAGAATCATCATGGATTTCAATTCTTTTTCCGGCTCATTGAATATACCTATTCATTTTATCTCCATCTCATTCCTCCCATCTTCAAATCATGTGTAATTATGAATAATGGTCGCGGTGGGACTCGTCTCTGGAATTATCGTACCATTTGAGTTTTGATTTGATCATTTCCTCACCGCTGTTAAAAAAGGATAAGAAAAATGAATAATCGAAATAGCTATTTGGAAATATTTCTCTTGAAGATTAATACTTCAATAGCCGATAGAACGTTAAGATGAACTTCGACAGAGAAATGCATAAATTTCACAATAGTGTTAATTGGTCAATATTAGGAGTTGAAGGCTTGTGCAGAATAGTCAGAATGATTATACTGTTCTAATTTTCTAGATTGGGAAGTTCCAAGAGCTTCTTTCGAGTCATTATATTCCAGATATGGGGTGTGCGATAGACTTACCTCCACGTGGTGCACCCTGGGCAACGTATACTCATACGGCAAAAAAAGTCTATAAATCGGCAGTTGACTTCGGACTTCAAACTACCATGACCCTATTGAATTTCATATTTGAATAATTCCACAGTATTCACCTCACCTTTTTCTCTACCTTTGTGTCCGTCTGTCTCTTTTACGTCTGTGAATCATTATTCTTCCCCCTCTCGACTTTTTACCAGTTGGATGTTCCTCCTCCCCTCTGTGTAGCCCGAAGTCAACTAAAGGGCTAATGATACCTATCATAATGCCTGCCATTTGAAATAAATAAATAAATAAATATCTTCGACATTGAATTGAGAATTAAAAGTGCCTTGTGTTTTATATAAAATGAGAAACGTTTGTCTAATGTAAAATAGTAACTAACTCTGTGTGAAATTTTAATTCGTAAAAATATTCTTACTTAAACAGTTTAAAATTATAAAAGAAAACTAATGTAGGTTATTAGTTATTAAATGAGAGCCCTTTGAATTCGAGTGGAGAATAATCTATCCTAACAGTAGTTGAATTCTAACTTACCTGAACGTCATTTGCACTTTTATATTAAAGGATAAGTAGATTCCAAAGGTTCATTTTCAATTATAAGCTAATCGACGTTAAATTGAACAAATTCAACCTTGTACCTTATTGCCATTGGGTCTGAGGTTTCCGGCGCGAACACGAACTTGTCTGTGCGTGCGCTTGTTATGCTCAATGTGGCTGCTTGTCATATCTCCATGTTTCTTAATAAACTTTTGTTCATATCTAATTATTTTGTTTTTCTCGTTTTCTGACACTTTTACCATTATGGTTTTAAGGACATCTTTGGCATAATTTTTACAATTACATGGATATCTTATTATTATTTTAATAGGAGAAGTGTGATCTTTCCAAAGAAGATGTTATGCGGTACAGCCGCCAGTTACTCATCCCGGATTTTGGGCCCTCCAGTGAGTCTATTACACGTTATCAACGCAATAATCCATAAAAATTTAATTATTTTTTATTAACATTCCGCAGAACAATTAAAGCTAAGGGACGCTAGAGTCCTTGTTGTTGGTTGTGGTGGGTTGGGATGCCCGGTGGGCATCTATTTGGCCTCTTGTGGTGTTGGCCACATTACTCTAGTTGACGACGATATTGTCGAAGTAGCTAATCTCCACCGTCAGGTTATGCACACTGAAGCTAATGTCGGTCGCCCCAAAGTCGAGTCTCTGTGTGAAAGTATGAAAAGGTAAGTCTATTGCATTTATCCATGTCTCTTTTTCTTGAGTTTCTTACTTATTTCTTATTCTTGGATTTAGCGTGAACAGTACCGTAGAGGTCGATGCCAAAAACCTTCATTTAACAAATCTGAATGCTTGTGAAATTGTCGAAAAGTAAGTATAACGATTCTTGTCTGTTTAATTTTAATCTGGTCTGCCATCGCTTCCATATAATTTACTTTGCAGGTTGTCTGTTGGTAAATCATCTTTGTGTGGCGTGTTTGATTCTTTTGCTAATGATGTTTAATAATCTGATAGATAAGATGTTCTTGTAAGTTTTATTACTCAACTCGCAAAATATTTTTTTTAAAATCTATCTGAAGTTATCATTGAGTTCGCTAAATGGGATTTAATCGCGTAAATTGACGCCTCAACAAACCCAATTCACATTCATGCATACCATATGATTAATTTAAATTAAAAATTTTTGATGCTCCTGGCATTATTGCAATATATTATTCCACTAATGACATTAATATAATTATCTCCAACTAAAGACTGCGTTCTTTATTTGTAAGTATTATTTTAGATTTCATTTGATTCAAATATTCGTTAAAAAACTTCAATTAGGTCTTCGACTTTCAGACATTATGCGTCCATTTTCTACTTTTTTTTCGGATTGGTTATTGTTGCATGTTGTTGAACGGAATACATCTGCAAAAACGTGTCATTGTGCTCCTTTTCTGGTTGCCTGACAATGTCATGCTGGCTTCTTGGTTAATTTAGTTGGATTTTGCGATTGTTCATTTACGAAGATTGTAAAGAGGTTACGGCTATTTATGCCGAAGGGTATCGAACTCACGATCTTGGATTTCGCTGACAAGCATATATCATCTAGTGGATCTCTTAAATAAATTGACAGAAACCATATATTATTGGCCTTTTTTTCGAGTCTCATTCTCCCCATTTTGGCTTTGTTTTAGCCACGACCTGGTTCTGGACTGTACAGACAACGTGGCTACTCGGTACCTCCTGAATGATGCGTGTGCCGCTTGCGGTCCCATTCCTCTAGTTAGCGGAAGCGCACTGCGTTACGAAGGTCAAATGACTGTCTATTTGACAGCTCATTTCCAAAGAGGATTCAGCAATGAAGCCAAACGTCAGAAAATGATTGAAGAGGAGAGAATTCCCTGTTTTCGTTGTCTGAATCCCTCTCCACCGCCTGCTGTGCAGTCATGTTCTGATGCTGGAGTTCTTGGTGTTGGTGAGTGCTATTTTATTTATGCCTTAGATAAAGCTTATTAAACTGGATGGTTATTCATGTCCCGAAAGCCTACTAATAAAATAAATATGAGCAACTCTCAAGCCCAAATGCTTGGTGGTTTACAGTAGTAATTCAATTTCTTTTTTTTCTTAATTTTAGTTCCAGGTATCATCGGTGTTCATCAAGCCTCTGAAGCAATTAAAATTTTGTCCGGAATCGGGGGTAAATTCACCAAGGCATTTAATTATCACTATTCTTTTTAGACTCCATAGCCGGTAATTTGTTTATCTTTGATCTGGAGAGAAATGTCACTAAAAAGGTTGCCTTACGCAAGTCCCGACCCGATTGTCCCACATGCAATCCAACAAATCGAATTACTCGAGAGAAGGTAAAGACAACAAATTACGTTTACTTCTGTGGAGCGCCATCCAACGATAAAGTAAGTCCTCTTTCAATTGGTAACAAACGTGTATACTTAAGCCTCGCTCTGCGAACAAGCAGTTGCACAGCACTCGGCTACCAGTTCAAGAGTTGAAAGCCCTTAGAGACTCCAATGTACCGCATCTTCTTATTGATATTCGGTCGCCGGTGGAGGTAGAAATCTGTCGACTTAACAAATGCCTGTGTAAGTGAAGTCTGCTTAGTTTACCCATACATTCTTCTTTTAGATATACCCTTAAAGGAACTCTATAGAGAATCTAATCTGGAATTGGTGAGGGACAAAATTAAATCCACTTACACGAAAGACACTGAAGCACCATATCAGGGTTTGTTTTGCTATATGCTGATAATTAATTTTTTGCACGGTAGTTGTTCTACTGTGTCGACGAGGAAATACCTCCAATGCTAATGTGTGCCAATACGAAGAGGCTCTTAAGAGAATTTTAAAAACTACTGACTCGAGTACTGATTTACTTGCTGTGGAAAATGGAGACGGGGGTACTGAAATACCCATAATAGTGAAAGATGTAGCCGGTGGACTGCAAGCGTGGAGTGAAATGGATGACAACTTCCCTATCTACTAACAATTTTAGTGAAAATATTTTGTATCTTTAAACTTAATAAAGCGAATTTAGTTATCAGCAATAGGCTACTTAAATGATCACAAGTAGACTGATATGAGAAAAGTGCAGGTGGGCATATGTATTACCTTATCACAAATTGCACAAGGCCAAGTAAGCTATTAAGCCTTTTGAACACTTTCTATGAGACATCGGGAATGGAGAAATAACTTCACCAAAGGAAACGGAAATATAAAAAGAGGAGAAAGATTACAGCTACAATAGAAATGATAAGGTATTTTGCGACAGAGCTCTGAACATTTAGAGATTGGGCACCAGTTCGGTAATTCTTTGAGAGATCTGAGAGGTGGCTGGCTTGTGCGTCTAGAGCTAAAGTCAAAAAATGAGTAGTCGTCAGATATTCATATAAATGAAAAGCAGACATTAGAAAAAGGACGAAATCCTACCTGTTAGGGCCTCGCCTCGCCTGAGAACATCGTCAATATTTCTAACCATAATACGTTGAACATCCTGTAGCGCCACGTTTAATTGAGCCACATTCGACGAAACACGCGTATCTGTATACTTTTGCTGTAATTTCTGCAACTCACGATCTTAACGCAAAAGAAGAGTAAGTAGGCTTCAAAAACGTACCGAATTCAATAAATCCATAAGGACGTGAAACAGTGTAGACGTCGTTAGCATATTGTCCACTGAATTGGTTGTGCACCTCTTCCAGAAAACTAAAGGCCTTTTGTCTTGGGAAATTCCCCTCTGTTAGAATAAGGTAACAAATGCCATTTTCAAGGAGGTAATGAAAATAGTAATTTCCAGCAGTAAGAGAACAACGAGGTGGAGAATTTGGTGCTAGTCTGCGAATTAACAACTTCGCTTGATTTTGATAGTTTACCATATTCCTGTTCAGCTAAAAATACAACAAGCAATTGCATTCGAAAAATAAATAGAATTAAGAATGAATTCAAATTGAGTTATAATTGTGAAACCATCGAAAATTTAAAAAAACAGTAATAAGTAGATTACTTTGAATGACTATGCATCTAATTAGAAAATAACTGTTGCAGATGAGATTACCTCTGTATCCTCCTTTACGGAGGCCACCAATGGAAGTCCATCAGCAACTCTCGAAACCAACGTAAAAAGTATCATTGCCGATGAGATTACGTCAAATCGTATTCGTGGAAAATACTAGGCTACGTTGAATATCTTTGACCTTCGCATACTTTACCAATCATTATTAAGAATAATATTTCATGAAATAGTTTCGTATAAAAACTGTAGCTGTAAGCATAACTAAAATATTAAGATATTTCAAGCTTAATTCAATTAATAAAATAATTATTTGTCTTATTTTCTCTAAAAGAACGTAATTCTCTGTTCAATATATTTAAAAAGTGAATCAGCTAATAAAAATAATGAATAAATACTTGATGCGCATCTTCTTTTTTGAGTATCCATGGAAAAAATTCTGCACAGAACTGTTTATTTTAAAATTATCTTATTGGTGTTGTAAGTCCGGAACAGTTGCCATATCGTATTGAAAGTGTCAAGTAAAGAAAAATGACCACCGACACGAACAGAAAAACTATTTTTAGGCGAGTAATGCAATAATTGAAACCAGGTAAAATCTTATCTCAAGCTTGTATATAAGTGGAAAAATAGACGCTGAGCATGTATGCATCTGTTAAAGCAGCAGATAACGCACTGATTTCAAACAAAACGCCCATTGTAAGATGAAATTACACTTTCGTTCCTAACGCTCCGTGATTAATCGTCAATAAAAAATTAAGGTGTGTTAAAGTGAAACATTAATTAAAGCAACGTAATATGTTGGTGACTATATTCATTTCAATCAACTCTATCAAATATGAGTAGTCAAGTTCCGTTATAAATGTATACCGATTAATCAAAAGTAAAATCAATAATTAATGATAACAAATATCTCATTTCAATCCCTTCAAAATGAGTTTCTCAAGTTCCCACAAATGGAAATAAATTTTAAGTTGGAAATTATTTAAAGATTTATCTATCAAGTGTCTTATGCTGTTTATCCACTCAAGTTAAATTACAGAAACTTTAGAAACAGAAAAGACAATATGTAGATAGCTCAGCAACAAAAATGCAGAGACTGACTGTTATAACATTTTTGAGCACTCAATCAAGACGGTCATCGACAAAGAACACAAACTGGTAGATTTAAATAGCACAACAACAAAAAGTCTTTATGTCTCCATGGAATGAATATTTTATGTCCTGGCCAAATCTCTCTGATCGCTTTCAGGTTTATTGCTCCAACAAACATTTGGAGACTTGGTCCAATTAAATCACTAAGTAGTTTAAATGAACAGCAGACCTTCAAAATCCGATTTCTTATGAAGAATTTTAGCAAGTCAAATGATGTCTCAAAAAGAATGAACAACTTTTAATAAACCAGATTTCTGATATCTCTTCCATGTCAATTTTCAATTCTTACAGAATGGCAGCATTCCACGAATGTCTAGTTTGTAGAGATATCTTACCACTACAAAACTGAGATATTATTAGCTTGCCGTTCAAGTAGACACTGCGTCAGGATTTAATAGTTTACGTACAATGAACAATGGCGACTATGGTAATCAATTAATTTCCGTTGAATTCCTGTATTCCAATCCATTTCACGCAAATAATCATTTCCCACTGCAGCTTAATTTGTGAGTATCCACTAACACTTTATTCATTTTTGCTCGAAACCATATCTTTTAGTTTATCGTTTATTTAACCAGCAATTCCTAAAGAAGTAGGATTGAGAAGACTCCACATCTTGTTAATTATTTTTTCGCACCTATCCACTTTCCGTATTTGCAGTGTTCAGTTAAGCATATTTGGAACTTGCTTCATAAAACCATTGCTGAAATCAAAGGTTCTTATCATTAAAATGAAACTAAATAATTAATTCTTGCAAATTCTTTGCTATTTTTACGAGTAACAGCTCATTTGAATCATCTATATTTGATAACATTAATGTGAATTAAATGTTTTGTACGCATCATTACCACATTAGGGGTAATTTCCGCTTAAATTGAATGCTGTAGATTATAACAGTGTTTTGATAATTAACATTAACTTTGTTTCAATAATACTTCTTGTGATAAAATTTGTTTACGTGTTATTTATTTATAAAAACGAAAAGATCAATTTAGTTCACCCTTATTATTACGTTGAATTTTTTCAACGTTCTAACTTTCAACGTCCTCCCAAACCTTTAATTGTTGTATTCTAGATTCTCACAATATTATGACTTCGCTCAGTTGTCATTCATCGACCAAATACTATGAGCATTCTTGGCTTTTTGACATAAATTTAGGTTCTCAAGAGGTACTGTTTTCGACTAGTTAAACATGCACGATTGTTTATAGGGCTTGTCGAACTTTGATGGAGTTTTCTCTGGTTGCATCAACAAAAATTATTATATCGCAAATAAGCATGAATTATTGGTCTTTGACGGACATAATTGTCCCTCTTTTGGGACGTGCTTTGAAGAAGAAATCATTGCTATACACGAGTTGTCAGAATTAGATTCTCTTCTTTTAACATTCAGTGGTGGCACTCTAAAAATATTCAATATAATTTTATTGAAATTCATGCAACTCCCTGTAAGTTCCCTTTATAATTTTCCTATTAACTCCTAGCTCCAAAATTTTAAAGATATTAAAATCATATCCTGGACGAATGGTTTCCTAGATGTGATGATCGTCACATCAGATTCAAAGGAAATTATCTTGCGAGCTATCACTAAGGAGTCATTCAACAACTCAGTATTGAATAACGAATCTCAATTTTTCTCTCATATATTGCAAACAGCTGTGATTCGGCCTTGTACTTCTCCTTTATCACTGGTCTGTCCACCCGAGAATTCCACTATAGCTACTGCTATTTCTCTGGTAAATGTTTCGGTTTTTTTCTAAATTTCTCCCCTAAAGCAGCCTAGCTTGAAGGTTCTAACCTTCGAAAATTCATTAGCTAACCAAATCAGTGAACAGGATATTTTGTGTTTTTCTCCTCTCGATGAACTCGAGTCAGCATTCATTAAGAGCGAATTTCTAGGATCAGGTTATTTTGCCATCCTTACACTCCAGGTTTGCAATGCTTAACATCATTTGAATAGCTTCTTTAGCATAGATTATTGATTTTCAATGCGATGGCTCGAGTATATTGTGGAACTCTAAGTGATACCAATGACGTTATAGATTTTGCAGTCAAATTAAGTACTAATTCTACGAATTCGCTGAGCTTTGACCTCTATACTCTCCATGATCGATACGGTGAGGTTGTTCTGGAAGTTCACTCCTATCCTGGGTAAGTTAAGTAACATTATTGACGCGCTCTTTCAGGTGGGATCTGTGTTTTTCTCTGCCGATGTCAACCACGTTGTCGTCGATTCTTTCTCGAAATGGTTCGAATTTGGAACCTCTTTTGGTACAACAGACGGAAACTTCTCTTAAATTATCTACATTTGTCGTGACAGATCCCTTTGAACAGTATGAGATTAATAGTTTTGTTTTTACAAATATAATTCCATTGTGTTTGCAAACCGTATATCTTGAAATTAAATCTTCCTTTCAGCTTAAAAGCCCTTGTTGTGGACAAAATGTTTGTTGAAGCTCGTCAATTCGCAGCCAAGTACAATCTTAGCACCGCAGTACGTTATAAATAGTACTTATAACTTTGAAAGTATCTTTACTATTTCCATTAACTTTGCTCCTTCCTTCTCTAGCTCATTGCTAAATTCGAATTTATTGCTTGCTTGGAATGTATGATTAATTTGGCCGGGAAACTTGTAAACTGCGAGGATGATGAAAAAACAACGACCGAGATGCTGTCTAATGCGCATTCAACTTGTTCTCGCGCTTTGGAACTTCTTGGTGAATTCTCCGTAAGTGTGCATTTAACTTATTTATGTCCGCCGTTGATGAGAGAGAGATAGCGTCTTCTGCTATCATTGGTTGGTAAAAAAGGCATGCATAGTTTCTTAAATTAAAATTTGATTTTTTTACTCACTGCTCAGTCTTGAGAGGGGTCTTTGCTATTCTTGTCTTGAGAAATTTAATGAAGACATTAATGGGCAACTTTGAGGTGGGCCAACTCGTTAAAACTTAAGCATCTACCTTGGAGCATCTCAGTTTCAAAATCCTTCAAAATTCTTGCTTTATGTCAATGACTATGAGGTCAATATCCATCGAGGTATATTCAGCGCTGTGAGTGGGCAGCCACGTTCTTCTTCCTTTCCATTCGGTCAAGCGTCGGCAAACATTTTCCTTGTGGATTTAGGAAAAGGGAAATGCGTTGCCTTTGTAGGCTCCAAAATTTTCGCATGAAAGAAAAGCGTACATCTTGACTTCGACGATGCTAAAAGCAGTGGGAGGTCACTCATTAGAGGGGTTTTTAGAATGTTTTCTCTCTTTTACTTTGGGTAAGTAGGAATGATTTGACAACATCTGATGTAGTCACCACCTTGTTGACTAGATTCAGCCTGTATAATTGAGCATCCACATGACTGTATGTCGGCATTCATCGGTCTCACCATCTCCGACTTGTCAAATGTACACTTTGACTACAACGTGACTACCTGTGAGCTTTAGGTGTAAGCTCGGCGCAGAAAGATTGCTCCTTTAAAACAACTTTCTAATCTGTAAAATATTTAATAAAGTCTCAAGTTCTTTCTTCCAATAATTTCTCCAACTTCTTCTATTATGCATTCCTTTAATACTAGGTTTTGGAACCTTCATCAGAAATTCTGTTACTGGTTCAACAAGGCATCATACCACGGCTAGCACCACAATCTCAACTCTTGAAACAAATAATGCTTAAGGTATTTTCTACTCTAATTATTTATGCTCAATTTCTGTTTAGTTACCTAAGGATAGCGAAGGTAGCGAGGTTGTTGCAGTTTTTCTTAAGCGTTTGCAGGTCTTCCAAAAGCTGAAGAAGTACAACAATTTGAGGTAATTTAGATTTCTTTTTTTGCTAATTCTCCACTCTATAATTTGTACTCTTAATCTTTTTCTTTTAGCTGTACGGCATGGCGAAAGTTTGCCTTTACAAAGATATCCGTTGAGTTTGTTGAATGCTTTGCTAAATGGGAAAATTACTATGATGGCTTCCTCATCTGGGGCGCGTTCAAAGATGAACTGACTGCTGATTTGACGGAGTCTTCACTTCGGGCCTTCCTTTCTTTTCTGTCTCAAAAGCCTTTGCTTGTGCCGAGTGGAAGCATTGAAGATTCGAAGTGCTTGGCTGAAGTGGAGAATAGACTTCACTCCTGGCTAGCCTCAGACCTTCTACCGGCTTTGCTCTCAAACTGTCCTACTGCCCTGGTAAGTTCGTAGTTTTCTTCTCTCTCTCTATGCTAGCACTCTTATTATGAAAGAAGCATTATTGTGTACTTGTCTTTTCTAGCCACTCTTGGCCAAATGGCTAGTCGATCGAACTCACCAACTCGAAGCTAGCATAAAGAAGAGTAGTGTGGCTCATACTCAATTCAAGTGGCCAGGTACAGCTATTGTCTGGATTGAGGACCTACTGCGGAGGTCCAACCTCTCGACTACTTTACGTCCTGAAGAAATAAGCCCTCAAGAGGAGGTTAATTACCTAATTTCTGGTCTCAGTAGTCGAAATGTAGAAGTCGATCCTTTTTATTCCCTGCGTGGCCTCCTTTTCGACTTGAGGACTATTCAAGATTTGCGTGATAAGTATGTCGCATATTCTCCATACTAACTTCAATTTCCTTCCATAGGTACAACTTCAGTTTGGATTTGGCTCACTGTGGTAGTCTAAATGCCAAATCGATTGCTTTTAAACTGATGGATGTGACTGTATCCTCACTTAGCGCTACTGGTAGCAACGGCTCTGATAGCGCCATGAAACAAGTGGCTTCCTTCATTAAAGAGAGAGGTTTGAATGCTGATAGAGTCTACTCTGAGTACTGTACCTACTTTCTGGCCGCCTTTCTGGAAAATACATCTCCTTCGAAGTGGAATACGACCGCGATGAGGGAGTCGTCTAGGGTGATCGATCTTAGTCGACGAGCTTGTCTAGTTGCTTCGTGGATAAAGTCGGTGGATTACAGATGCAAGGTAAAAAAGAGAGAGTGCTCTTAGTGTAATAAAAATGCCACTGTCTTGAAACAAGTTGATTGACTCTGTGGTTGCATTCTGTCCGCGCTTTAGACGGCTCAGTTGTTAGCTAAAGTGACTCCTACACCTTGGCCTTCACAATTACATGCAATCGTTGACTCAGTTCTCGCTGACTGCAGCAAGGGAAAGTCGGAAGATGCGCATCAGGCAATACGCAAACTTACGCGTAGATCAAATACCGCCAAAGCCATTGGAATCCTTTCAAAGTAAGTGACTTTCATTTTTTGGCGGAATGGATTACCTGAAACCATTGTCAAAATGATTATTTACAGTTTGTGTGTGTGCGTGTATGTGTGTAGACGGCGCAGGTTGGCCGGCAAGATGTCTCTGATTTGTGCAGTGGTTAATTTCTGTGATCTTTATCAATAGATTTAATTGAGTAGGGTGGAGGATATGTGAGCAGAAAAACTCGTAATATTGTAGTTAGTTAGTTTAATTTTTCCCTATCTAATATCTCTATATGTCTGATTGGATTTCCGATTCTAATGAAAGATGCCATCTTTTTGGTTCTGTTAAATATTTGCTGTGGGCTCGTTGCCTTTCTACATGAATGAATCAAGTCTATTTCCTTGGTGGAATAGTAGGAAGCCACCTCGATTAATGCATTAACCTACTAGTGATTATGTAGAAAACCTTGCTATGTTCAATTAACCCATATTTGATAACAATATGAGACTGTTGTAAAAAGATTTCATAATCGATCGCAATTCAACCTACACGCCAACCATCTTTGCACGTTGAAAAGAACTCCGGAGTCAAGTTTCCAGTTTTGGAATGGAATATAGTCCTCAGGGATGAGTATTCCGATCGACCTATTTGAACCTTTCCTCGGACTCTTCTGCCATTGTCCACTTCAGAGGTTTTACTTTTATTAAAATTGCGTGATTTGTGCTTTTCGTGTAGGTAATGATGAAAATGCCTGATTGACTCCTCGAGATTAATTATTTCCGAATGGATTTCCGAGTCATTCGCACCTCGAATTTCCAATTGTATTGTTTGTGACGGCGGGACAACTTAGCCGTCAGAGCTTACATCATTTGAATTACGTCTTTATTAGCAAATACTGTCTTCTCTTCAGATATGGCGTGGAGTTGGACAGCCTAGATCGAAGTATCAGTTGTCTTCTTTTTCGTGCATCGCCACCCTGGATAGTTAAACCCACCTCCAAAGGCCTTTCCCCCGAAATTTCGCGTTCAGAAGTTCTCTCTGATGCTCTATCAGTAGCTCGGCTTCTCACATCCTCTGCCGATACCACATCCAAGTCGCCCAATACCCTCGTTGCTCTCGCACATCTTCGTGTATCTCTACGCCAGGCTCTCACGATGCCCTTACAATCTGAACGCTATAGTGTTGATATTCATCAACGAGCGCATTACTTGCCTTCAGTTGTCCTGAAGGAGGTGATGGCCCTGGTGCCTGAGGGTGATAGTGACTTTGTTGAGTTGATCTTCCGAGAGGCTATTCATGAACTTGGAAGTCGGTGGGATTTGATGTGTTGGGATTTTGAACAGGTAGATTACTCACAAACTTTTGGTTTAATTTTGATTGAAAGGGCCTAAGTAAGGACTTGTGTATTGATTTTAGGGGGTTTCTGTGCAGCTTATAGGGTGCAAACGCGTCCAGATCGCGTCTTTATGTATTACCTGAATTGCAATGCTTTGGGCAAGTAGAAAAAGATGCAATTTATGCTATAAGGCGCTAGTTTCTAATCTTACTACTGCACTTTAACTGTTGCTATGTGCATTATCAAGGCATATGAGCAATTACGGTAATAACAACTCCTAGGCTCATGTAGGGAATCATATGTAGCAACGCTTATCTTGTGTACGAATTAGAATCACGTGGAGCCTCCATGGGCTGAATTTAGCCAGTGTGGTTAGGCATTCTGTTCATAGCTGTTCCCCGATGGGAATCAAACTCGTGATCCCTGAGATACCGGATTTACGCGGTATCCGATGGGCTTTATAAATTCCAGAACATTGGGGTACAATGGTACTTGAATAGAACTTGGCAGCTTTTCAAAGGTAAGGTAGGATTTTCTAAATACCTCATGAAATTCTACCATTTTAATAACGGGAATGCTAAGAGTTCCGCTATATTCCTCTTAACATTGCCCTCGTTTACTGATCAATTTTAATGGTCGTTCTTTTAGGTCTCTCAGTACCTCGAAGTGTTTGCCTGCATAGCTCTTGAAGCAACCAAAGTCTGCCCCACAAATTCGTCTGTGGCCAAAGATGCATCACAATGGCTTCATTACTGCCATCTTGGGCGTAAAATCATCTCCCACTTTGAAGAGTGTGGTATTAGCCTTTCACACTTCCCCAAACCCAATAAGACGTCTCCGCTTAATATCGTCTTCTACCAATCTCCAACCACATCACCATTCAGTATACAGAGTATTGCTCTACTTCACCTCCTTCTGCAGTGGAACAATCACCAATTTAACGCATCCGATGAAGAAATTCTCCTTGTTGACACATGGATGTCTTTAGACCATTCGCATTCTCTTGGAACTGTTGTCAATGTATTGAAGCAACTTGTAGACAGAGTCAAGATGAAACCGGATTTGGAGAGTGTTAGCATTGATGTTGTGTATGGATTAGTTTTACGCAGAATCATGCCATTTTTAACTGCTGCAGAGATTGAATCGGACTTTAATTTGGTGTCTGACTTAATTAGATGCGTTTACGTCCTTCTTATTTTGGCATCAAATAAAGGTACTACTTAAATGGAATGAGTAGGGTTTATCTCACAATTTGTTCCTTCTAGGTGTATTATCATTCAAATATCGATGTGTTCTTAGCATCGTATCCTGTGTAGAGACTGTGTTTTCAAACCTTGCTTTAAAGTTTTCTGTAAGTCTCACTTTTTTGAGATGGAATTGAATTTTTCATACTCTTTGAATCGTTCGCTCATAATGGTCAATTTTATCGATTTAGAATGTGGTCCCTTCCAAAAGTCCATTTGAAACATGGCAATTTTCCATCCTCTTTCACGAAAAAGTTCTCCAAAATGTGGATTTAGAAACAGCTCAATTTCTCAGTTCAGATTCCCTACAGTGGCTTTCACAAATGCTTTACTATGCCGACAGGAAAACCAGCGACGCTCGAACAGTACATGGTTTACTCTCAGAGGGTTTTCGCTTAGCCACAGATTATGCTACCCGGTTGAGCTTAATTACATCCGTTTCCATACCCTTGATGGGGTCACTGATTTCTCTCTGCTATAAAGAAGTGCATGATGGATCTTTGGTATGTGTTCGTGTTCTTAATCAAAACATAATTTTCCCCCAGAGAACTGTTAATGTTAGCATGCACGAGGAGTCTCAATTTGAGTTGCCTCGAAGGGACTTACTGGAAGAGTTGGAGAGGATCTTGGTTGAACAAGTTGACTCTTGGATGGGCGAGGCTTTGGACAACCTCTTCCGTTGCTCGTCATACCTTGATGTGCCCCTAGCATTCGGTTTGGCAGTCTGTCAAACCCTGGCAAATAGTGCCAATCGCATGCGCGCTTTCGTTGCGAACAATCCAAGGGCTTCTAGCAAGATCCAAGTGAGTTGATGGCGAATTTACGGCATTACGTTCATCAGGTATAAAATCATATCAGAAATAGGATTTGCAAAGGGGAATCTATTGCATTCGGGGCTATATTTACTGATGAATGCTAAATTTGATGATCTTGGTCCCGAAGCAAACGATTTCTGCACAACCGTCGCTTTCTGTTCTTGTCCTGTTTCCATATGAGCTTCCTGATTCGATCATTTGAGAAGCTATTCCAGTTGGTTAAGATTAACTCATACAAGGCCACATCTTCATCTGCATTTCTACAATCTCACATTTCATCCAAACCATTTTGCCTTCTTTTGCTAGTAAAAGGAGGCATATATCCGAATTTATGGAGTCTGGCTGTTGATGACATTCCAGTCTTGGAATAATCGATCTGCTATTCGGAATAAACTGCGATTTCAATTTGTGTGTGTATGTGTGCAGTTCTTAGTGCAGAGGCCAACACTCTGGAACTGAATGGAGTTCATTCAGGGTGAAATCTACTATACTACGCAATCATTCCCTGGCTTATGGAAGAAAACATTTTATTACATAGAACAAAAAGAGTAAAACTGAGTCATTAAAGCTGCAATTTTGGAAATGGGACATAGGAGTTCAACCTACGGAGTTCATTGTGAGAACGTGTACTGGCATTTTTGTAGTAAATTATGATTATAGCTATTTGCCAAGTTCATTCGTTTGAAAACTTTGAAGGAAATATACACATTTCTCTTTGAATTTTCGCAAATTAGAACAACACCTTGCTAAGATCCAGATCATGGCACAAAATTGGGCGATTGAGGTCATTGACATATTTACACTATTTACTGAATACTGCTAATAATGTCCTCCTTGTATGAATTTCTGCTCACGTTTACATTACAAATGACGTTGGATTTCCCTTGCATTTGGGTTTCGCAGTTCATTTGTTGGGTATTTATCAGTCATGATGGCTCGGCAGACCCAAGACTGCCTCTTTGGCATGTTGATCGGGCAAATATTGCCCCCTCCCCCTTCCTCGCCAAATAAAGAATTTTTAGCTTTAATTCAAGACGAATTCTTCTTTTTGCTGAAGTTTCTAGGGAAATTCACTGAGCACATTCATTCGAGGAGAGTATTCTCGCATTTTTAAAGGAGTTTTTACAGTGCTCTGTTGGAGAATGATCGTGGTAGAGAAGTAGCTTCGCAATCATCTCGAATGCCAGTTGTGGGCTTAAAGTAGCACTATATCCACTCTGCATAACTGCTTTAACATTCCAACCGACTTAACGTAAACGATACTTACCTAGATAATTAATTATTATTTTTTTTGAAGGCAAGTATTAAACAATAATCCTTCTCCAATCAGAGGAATCGGAGGAAAGCAAAGAGGGCGCGCATGATAGATTTGAGTTTGAAATTAAAAGTTAACTGAGGAGAAAGGCCAAACATCAACACATTGTGGGTGGAAAGAGCATTGAGGTTGACTCTTGTGTCCTTTGTTCACCTAATAAGCACTTCATAAAATAATTTTTTTGGGAGTTTGAGTCAACGTGAACTTTTGATAGAATACTGCAGAGACTGTTAACAGTTCACTTCAAGCTTACTTAGTTTTCAACACTTTCTACCATCTTTAATTCGCGTCTCTATTGACTCTTCAGGCAATTGCCGTGATGATGTACAAGGCATCTAGACTGCTTGGAGCAGAAGATGCAGCACGTATGGTTGCTATGGCCAAGGGACTAGCTCTGAACGCTAAATGGGATGCTGCTTTACGTGTATATGGAGTAAGTTGAGAAATATGGCAATATTGTTTTCTCTAACTTATCTACAAGACTGCACATGGTAAATTACCAATATGTGCCAAGTAAATTCAAGGTTTTGTCGAATTTCTATCGGTTTGGTCTTTTCTTCTATTAGTTACGTCACAGTCATAGAAATCCACAACCCGACGTAGTTCTAGGTCATCTGATAGGGATTCTACCTCCAGTCTGTCGAAGTATCGGTGTCGCTGACCCCCTTTCTGCACCCCTTAAACCCCTCCCTTCCGTGAGTGAAATTGTCGATTTCTGCAAGGATTTCCATCAAAATGCCAATGAAGCCCTTTTGAAACACCTCGAAATTCTAATAATGGCCCCATTCTCCGAGAAGCCCAGTTCAGTAGGTGATGAGGAATTGTGTCGTTTCAAGTGAGTTTTTGAAAAATTTGCCTCTTACTGGCATTAATAAGTAGAAACTAATATAATTTCCCCTTTGAAGGAAGTATTCCAGGGCAAAGTTGGATCGAGCTTCGGAGGTTTACAGAGTTCTCGTGCGAATCGCCTCCACGGATGTTGAGTTCATGGAAAACAGGCTTGAACCTTCCATTAAGCGTTTGTTTTCTTCCACATCGCCCTACGATTATGAGGTACTTTGCTTCCTTCTTGATTGCATTAGGACTCTTGATGACCTGGAGACGGCTTCAAAGGTAGGTCACATGATATTTTGAACTGATATTTTGGTTGATTTGTTCTTCACAAACTAGGGATTTCGTTTTGTGCTGATTTTGCTGGTTTGTGAGTTAGAAATGGGGTGTGGGTCATGCAATAACGCCAAAAAATGCAAAAATGCGAGCCTTTATTCCACAAGAAGCCAATACTAGTGCCAATTTTCTTTTGTCAATTACCTTCGAATGAAGTTCATTCGAAAAACGTATTGGATTAAAGTGTTTCCAACGTAGAATAAGGCACAAGTGGTTAGACTCAAATCTCCTGAGAGATCTTTTCTCCTCCGGACAAAATAGTTCAATGTTTTTTTCTTCATTCTTCAATAAATGCATTTTTAATATTTATGCTTCTTTCCTCCAAACATGTCAACTTTTATTGGCAGGGTCGACTCTGGAATTGAAGGGATTGAGGAGAGGTCGTGCTATTGAATCGGGCGCGTACTTGAAATTCAAATATGTTGCACTAACTCTCCTGATCAGTTAATTAGTTTCATCTGAAAAAAAGAGCATTGGAGCGTGATACTCTGCTTCTCCTATTTCAGTATTTTATCCCCGATATCAGATGGTCTACCACTGAGATTCCTTTGTCAATTCGGCAGCATGCAAAATCACCACTCCCTTCTATTTGATTGCATTTGATGGCGTAATTACCTCACACACATACACACACGCACACACACACACACACACACACACACACACGCACACACACACAAAAACGGTCTCGATGATAATTTTCTTTCTTTTCTTTCAAAGTTAACTATAATTTTAATAGGTTGGCAACTAAGTCATTGCCGATTTCAAATAAGAAGGCAAATTCGGAATTTTTGTTTAAAAATATAACTTTATTCAATTAGATATTGGCCGTTCTTGTCGATGGCCTTTTTTCTTCGTTCTGGCAGAGTAAAAATTCCCCGTTCGTAAAATGTCTGGTCTTTGCTATTAAAAAGCTGAATTAGGTGTGATCCGACATCATCCGCGTTGTTAAAAATTTTACCATTTAAAGAGTTTTGCATGGAACGAAACAAATGGTAATCCGAAGGTGCAAGGTCAGGGCTATATGGTGGGTGTGACAAAACATCCCCACCCAGTTCCAATAATTTTTTGCCGAGTAACCAAAGATGTGTGCGGGGCCTTGCGTTATCATGATGGAAAACAACACCCTTCCGATTTGATAATGCCGGCCGCCTATCTTCAATTGCATCCTTCAGTTTTTCGAGTTGCTCAACATACACATTTGAATTTATCGTTTGGTTCTTCGGCATGAGTTCAAAATACAAAATTCCTTTGTGATCCCACCAGACTGACAGCATAATCTTTACTTTGGTGAATCTCTGCTTTTGATACTGTTTGGGCTGGTTGATCTTGCTTCACCCATGGTCTCTTGTGAGTGACATTGTTATAAACTATCCACTTTCGTCGCCAGTAACTAGGTTCTTCAGAAATGGATCATTCTCATTGCGTTTCAGTAGCGGCGAATCACAGATGCTAATCCGTTGCGTCAAATGAATTTCCTTTAACTGGTGAGGGATCCATAAATCAAGTTTCTTGACATAACCAAGGGTTGTTAATTTTTTTTCAATGCATGTATGCGAGACATTGAGCTTCTCTGCAATATCTTGTGTTGTGCTGTGACGATTCGAATCGATAATGGCCTTGATATGGGTTTCATCCACTTCGACTGGGCGGCCAGATCGTTGTGAATTTTTCAGTGAAAAATCACCGGAACGAAATCTTTCAAACCAATTTCGACACTGCCTTTCTTTTAAGGCTTCATCTCCATATACGGAACATAACTTCTTTTGTGCTTGCGATGCGTTCTTGCCTTTTCGGAAGTAATACAATAAAATGTGTCGGAAGTGCACGTCCTGTTCTTTCATTTTTAAATTGGAATAAAAACAAAACTAAAGAACTAAACAAAAAAATTTTTTACTAATTAACCTAGAAGTCCATACAGTAAGAAAAAAATATAGGTTAGATGCTCTGGCCACGTTAACAAAACAAAAGAAAGTATAGAGTGAATCTGTCAACAAAACCGGCAATGACTTAGTTGCCAACCCAATAGATTGATTAGATTTATAAGCGCCCCCCCCCCCTCTCCCATTTTGCAGAACAATTTTGGCTTGAAGTAGCTTTTATTTGTATTTACTAAAAAAAATGTGGGAGATCTCGCTTAAATTGTGCATCCCAAGTGGACAAATTTATGTACCAGGGCAATTTATACTCTCCCATGACAACTGACAATATCAACTCAAGACCTGAGGCCTTTCTTTGACATTCATTAACTTAAAACCTTTACTTTCGGACATTGGGCATAACTTTCACGCAACTCTTTGCTTCATCATGGGCTTTTTATCGTCTACAAATACAAGAAATCATAAGCCAAATTTTAGGGCAAGATAATGTTTGCTAGTAGATGTTTGGGAAACTTGACGCTATTCTTTTTGTTCTATTTCATGCTTGCCTTTAAAAGCACGTGACCCCGTTAATTGACAATTTTTGTTCTCATTTTGAGCAGAAAAGAGGGCATTTTGGCCATCATTTTGGCTGCGCCCAAACTACCTCACCTATCACTTGCAGTCTTTCACGTCTACGGTGTGGCTAGCGTAAATGCATTTACCTAGAGATTCTTCACCAGTAACTTGGCTTCATGTCTCAGTTTTCCAATTTTGAACTTCTAGTATCACTTTACTTGCCACACCAAATTGTTGTTTCGAATTCAAAGCTCCTCGTTGTCTATCAGATGTTTGGAATCCACTGATTAAAGGGAGGTTAAGTATGACTTCTCGTTTAGAGGTCGGGGTTTTGTTTGATTCGGCGTGAAGGTGGGACTTCCACGATTTTGAATCTATCGTTCTTTTGGGGAGGGTTTACCCACGGTAAAGTTGTATTCATTAGGGAGGGTGAGTTATGAAATTGGGGGGGGGGGTTTCTCTAGCGTCCCGTTGCTCATTCTCCACACCGTTCTTGGAGCCTTCGTGGCTTAGGATCTTCGACATCTTCCTAAGCTCGATGCTCAAGATGATATTATTTTCCAACTGAAGCTCTATACAAAAATGCATTATCGTAATCACTTATTCTACGAGCATATACATCTAAAATTGAGGCAGTTTATAAGATGCAAATTTTTAAAAGGTGCTATTTTCATTTTGGTCGTTACCCACCTTCTTTTCTTTTCATTTTAGTTTGAAAGAATTCTCGAATTCCTTCAACGCTACCAACTCAAGTCCTCTCGGAGTAGTCAACCCAATATTGACATTGGAATTGCTCCTTCATCACAAGAGGAAAGTCACAGCTAATCTTCTTTTCACTCTTCTTTTTGCCAGGAACTTTCAGTAAATTTTGCACCTTTTTTTGTACAGACCACAATTTCGTATAATTCAATTTTGGAAAAATATCGTCTTCCCTTCCATCCACTCTGTGTGCCAACGGGTTTCAAATTCTTCGGTAAGCTTTGAGCACACCTCTTCATGTTTGCTGACGGTGTAGGGTTTAATGTTCCCCCCCCTCTCCCCCCGAGGATTCGATATTAATCAACTCACTTCCAGTGAGCCGTACTTAGTTTTCATTAGAGAAGTTCTGCAATGCTGGCTGGAAATGAATCTCAAACTCTCAGCTCCATTTAGGAGTGTGTGTGTGTGTGTGTGTGTGTGTGTGTGGCGGAACGATTACAAGAATAAATGTCTCTATTGAGGAACTTACTTCCCAATACTTTCAATTATTACCATGGCTTCACTATCATAGTTGGCTATTCCACTCTTATTTGGGCACTGGTGGCTGATGTTTGAAAGAATTTCTACTTGCGCTTCTGCCAATATTTGCTTCATTATAGAGAAGGATATCGATCAGGCGAATTTACACAAATGGCTCCAGTTGGATGAATTCGTGGAGGTAATTTGGTTACTTATCAAGCTCAACACACACACTCACACACACCTTCTATTTCTAGTGGGGTCTATCAGATAATATCAACATTGCAATGATAGCCAATGGGCTGAGTAGCCTGGAGAAAATAGGATTGCTGCGTGTTCACACGAAAGGCGGTCTCTTCCCTTCTGCCAATCCCGCCACGGCGCAATTCTTCCGCCACGTTGTCCCGGTGGATCGTGGTGCCGCGGATATCTGGGAGCATGCGTCAGCGTGTGAACACATCTTCCGGGTATTCTTCAAGCGTGCTTTCAAGGCTCTTTCAAGGGTCCAGGATAGGCAGCTTCTGCTAAAATTCCTCGGAGGTAATCTTCATGTACAGCAAATTTTTTTATTTAAATTTACTATTCAAAGCGCTTTAATTTTTAAAGTTGAATGTGATAGGCGGTTGGGTAGCTTCCAACGTCACACATGCTGTTTGAAAAAGTGCTTCAACTAACTTTCATTTTCACTTGACTTTTTTTATTCTTGTCAATCTCATGGCACAAAAATAGTCGTTAATCCATTGTCATCAATTTTATTAGCGGAGAAGTTAAATGAAGCAGTCTTTAATGAATGCCACCTTGGGTTATATCGATTTGTCCCGATCTCCCTAATTCTGCTTTTTTTCTCTGGTATTTAATTTGAATACTTCGTTAGATACACACCTTCATTTATCCCCTTCTTGAAAATTTCAAAAATGCGTTTCTGCAGACAGTGGAATAGATTAGGCTCTTTTCCTTAAATGCATTTTATACAATTCTATGCTTTGTGATTCCTAGGACACGTACTTATTCGATCACTGCTGGACTAATTTTCAATAAATACCATTGCTTCAAAGGTACTTGACCCTTTAACTCCAGAATTATTTTTTGATAAATGCACCCAACCACACTCACGCGTGTCTCACAGGAGACTGATGCCACCGACGTGGTGAGTTTCAGTGGTGTATCAGGCGAGGGCTATAGTCACGTATTGAACATGTTTCAAACTTCAATAGCGCCGCTATTGTTACGAGTCTATTAACAAGAGAGGTTATTTTGATAAATGATTGTATGATCCTGTGGGACGTTAAAGGGTTAAGCAGTTACATCTTCATATGACTCCTAGTTACGCCTACTTCCTATTGGATGTACGCGTTTTTTTGTGTGAGCACTATCCAACAACAGTGGCCACCTGGTTTGAGCAAGTGGTCAATTGGTTTGTGCAACATGACTTGCGTGTAGAGTAATTAGAAAACGAGTTCACTGTTCCATATGCATTAATCCCTCATTAGTCCACAAGTAGAATGAAATTGACCCCCAATTGCTTTTCGCTTACCACAGCCTAATATTCTAGTTTTATGAATGACTTTATGCAAGTTTCTCTTGAATTTAACACGAATAACCTGCTTTGGTTATGGTATTTTTTTATTCCATTAAGTTTTAAAGAGACTCCATTTAAAACCTTTGCTTGGATATTTACGGCGTCTGATCTCAGTTTTAACGAGATCCACATCCATTATTGATTAGCTGATTGATTGCCTGATGGCTCTTTCAAACATTTAATGGATCTTTTCCCGCAGAGGATCTAGCTTGGAACGATGGAAATGTGCTAAATTATCACTCTTCACGTATTATGATCTCCACCGTCACAAGAGAGTAAGGTGACAGAGAACGTGATTAACTAATAATTATACGATTGAAAATGCTAAAAAACGTACATTTTTTATTGATAATCAAAGCTGAAACAGAGTGGAATTTGATATGTACCGATGAACAGCTCTTAGACTGAGTGACTAGATTGAAAAGTGACGTTGAAAACGTCGAAGATCACAACACCTTTTCAGAATATCGATTGCTCTTCCCATATAGGAGACTAATTTGGAACCTATGATGGTGTCCATAGAGGATGGAATCACTATCAAGCTTAATACGAATTGCATTTTCCTTCCTTCAGAGACCTTCTCCAGTTTTCGTGACGGTCCAATCAAGTTGATCTTTCTCGATATGGTAGTGCGAATGTTGAATGGATGGCTTGGAGTTGGCGGAGGTAGCCAGAGAAGCTCCTGTTCTCACACATCAGTGATTGCACCCAATGATGGAAGTAATTCGGCTTTACAGACGACGGCGGTTGTTACCGGACCAATTGTTCCAGGTCGCCTCTCAGACCGCTTCAAAGACGAGGCTACAAACTCTGTTGTGAGGAAGGCTCTTGAAGAGGCTGAACTCTGCCATCAAAAATTGGCTGTTGAGGCTTGTCTTCATCGACACAGTATTACACGATACTGGCCAGATATACTCACTCGTGCTGTCTCGTATGTTTCAATTTATTGATTTTCATTTCCCCATAACGAAGTTAAAGATGCATTTTAAGTGCAAATTAATAGCATTGGAAGAATTGAATTTCCTCCATTCTCCGCATTCATAATATTTTTTCTGTCTTTGTTTAATTTCTGATCCATTCAGATTGTAAGGCCTAGTCACCAAGTTTCTGAATGATTGCTCATCTCCTCGGTATTCCCAACTAACATGTCCAATTAGGATCACCTGATCGTCTGTCAGCCAACGAGCTGCCTTATAAATGTCATTTGCTATTTTGACTTGGTCAAGCGTTTTATCATTATTTTTTTCTATCTTCCTCACTTCGTTCCGATTATGACTCAACTACAAATCGACTTTTAAGCTGTTTAACAATTTTCACCTGTTAAACAATACCTGGGAATCTTTGCTCTGCTCTACCACCAAGTCACTTTCACTTGTCATCTTTCCCACTTTCTCCCCTTTAATATGATTAATTAATTATCTCTCCTCGCTTTCTCTCGTCTGGCAGTTGGGAGTGAGTGTAGATTTAATGCAATTTCATCTTTCTCCATCCTAAATTGGACTCTCTCGGTTTGAGGTCCCCCCCCCCAGTTGCAGTCGGATTAAATCACTGATTGAGCTTGTATTAAAATGTGTGTTTTTTGTTTAAATGATGGTGATGGGTGAGTGAGAGGTGTGGAATCGATCGATTTTGAGTGGGATTATTATTCGTTTTGGGAATACAGGCAAAAGTGTTGCGTGACACAGTTGTTTGAGCATTGATATCATACTCCCGTTAAAATTATTACTGCACTATGAATGATTGCCAGTTATTGCCATTTTCGCTGTAAATGTTGTTAATATAACTGTTTGAATTTGTGTCTCAGTTTTGTCCATTTTTTAACATAAAATGTGTTGGGGGGGGGGGGGGTATTTACCTGTTAATGTGCGCGTCAGAGACCACGGGTCGGGTTTGGTATACCTCACTCGGTGCACACCCACAATTACCAACAGTGAGCTTGCAGGAGTGGATGGCTCTATGACACTACCTCTCACTGCAAAATGAGCCTTGATGAACGATTTCCTTTGTGGACTTTGGAAATACTTCACCCCAAGTCTGATATCGTTAGGACTTTCCTTGATTGGGTTGGGGAACTTTAACTCAAGGTGCATGAAAAGCGCTTATCTTTCGACTCGAAAATTTCCTCAAGCACATGGGGACTTATGTAGGTATGGTTTACTGAAATCATGAAATAACGTTCATGGAATGACGAGAAATCTCTTCATGTTATGGCACTGGGTAAACATTATTTTATTTATTTCAAATGGCGGGCTTTATGACACTTATCATTACCCCTGGGTAAACATAGCATTCAATAGTTGTGTCATTTTTGCAGTTCCTCCGCTCTTGTGGACCTCCTACTGAACAAGTCGTGCGCTATCTATGCATCTTCGGCCCTAACCGACGCCTCTCGAATTGACCCCACTATAGGCCAGATCATAGCCTACCACAGACGTGAGGACGTTCTCAGCCAATTGCGCTGTGCTCTAAAGGAACTTCTTTGCCTTCAAGGCATCTCATTCACTGCCTGGGCCAGACAAGTTGTGTGGCAGCGTTTGCGCCTCCCCAAGTCGATTAGACCGACAGAGTGGCCCGAAATGAACCCAACTGGTGGTGCTGGTCTGATGGTTGGTGATGCCGAAGGTATCGATTTGAATGCCACTGCAATCGTATTTGATCTGGACAGCTCAGTACTTATGCCTGGCGAACAAGCGGATATTTCACTTAATGCTACTTTTGCTGCATCAGTAAGTCGTTTTTTTGATAATTAGTATCCGCTTGGACTGCTTGCGTGCGCTTAGTGGTCTCCTCGTATGCTTTTAACGTGTTGGTGACGATAGTGGGGGAGTCACCTTTGCTAATTAAAATCTTTGTATGTCTGTTTTGCAATTTTATAGAAACC